AAAAAAAAAAAAAAAAGAAAAGAAAAAAAAAGAAAGAAAAAAAAAGAAAAGAAAAAAAATATCCTATTTTGTCTTCGTTGCCAGAAATCAGTGTGGTGTCAAACACTCCAAATGACTGTCAAGTATAAATTCTTCCACTTCATTTTTGGCAGCTGTTTGTTAAGGCATCTAATAACAGATGTGAGAACTGTAATGTGTACAATGTGTACGTGTCCTTGGCTGTCGGTCCCATTGCAGTTTCCATGTGTGTTTCTATATGCAGTATATACTAAGCTAATGTAGTTGTTTTGTCCTTTGTCTTCTCTGTGCTCTATCTCTAGTCCGGAGTGGTACAATCCCATTCCTGCAGTCCTAGTGAATCAGTGATTCTTGGGGGTTAGTGGTTTTTGTGTGGTGGCCTTCCTCTGTAATGTCACCCTATGCTGCTTCTACTGTCTGTGAATCTTCTGTTTGACCTTTTAAAATTCCTGCTGTTGCTTTGCTGGTGTATATCTCCCTGCCCTCCCCTCTCTTTCCCTCCTTTCCCTATCTCCCCCTTTCCCTTCCTTGCCATTCCTTCCCCCCCTCTCTATCTCCAAATCTCTTTCATTCTCAGAGATTAAAAAAAAAGACTCTTAACTAGCTCAAGGTTAATGGAGCCATTTTTCCACAACGGAATTCTGGGTATGACTCTCTCTCTTCTAGAGTGCAACATGAAGCACTAAAGAATAATGCTCAGATATAGTAAATAAATTGATGCCATATAGCCTCAGTTGTTAACATTCCCAGAGTCCCTTGTGCTCTACCTATAAGCAGTGGGTGCTTTTCTTTGGTTTCCTTTCAGGTTGGCTGATGGAGCAATATATAAAGCAATTACCAGTGAGACAGAAAATTATTTCAAAGGTCAACCAACATTTTTAAGGAACAAAATGGGAGGGGGTAATGGGATATAGAATCGTCATATATATTTGTTTATTCGTGCAATGCTAATATAGTAACTCAGCTGTCCTTTGAATGTCACTGTGCTGAGTGGATGCCTCGACGACCTTTGATTCCATGAGTTGGGCCCAAACCACGGTGGAATAATAACAAAAAGAAGTGAAATGCCACACATTTTCCTAGTGAGCTTACTGAAAGGATTTTAGTAGGTTTAAAAGATGAAGAAGGATGATGGCAAAATTTTAAAGATTCATTCTGGAAGCTCTGCTCTAGCTATCGAACAATCAAAGGAACGCACCCATCAGCTACAAAGAACAGCTCGATGGCTGTTTTTTTTCTTTTATAAATGTTTCTGTGTTGTGTCAAAATGATTTCTGGTGATTTAAACTAACAGATAATCACAGCTGCTGTCTAAATCCATAGTGTTTAAAATTACAAAATGAAAAAAAAAAAAAAAAAACACTTCATTACCTGTGAAGACTGTGTCTGTGTTTTTAACTATTTCTTGTACAAATATATGAAAACTTTTATGAGGAGACTGGTGCCAAGTAGCTGAATAATGGGGAAAGGGATATTCTGTTCGTAAAAATCTTAGCAGTGTTACCAACTCTACAATATATATATAAAAAAAAAATAATTAAAACATTACAAAGCGACAGCTATGGTACATTTGTTTTGTGTGAAGCTAACCGGACCTAACTTCCTGAGTGCCTGGCTTATTTTGAAACATTTTTTTTTTCATTGACCATTGATAATGCTGCAAATCAGAAATGTACATACTTCATTTACAACAGGGTTCTTTTTATACTTTTGTAGATTCCCATACATGTCACATACATGGTTGTCTTTATGTAACTTAATTTTTTCATCCGCAGGTGCCATTTTCATAATAAACTTCTCTTGGATTTGTTACTATCTGGCATCATTTCTTTTACATGTAACCATCCTAACTAAGGAATGCTGGTAGTATTTGTTTAAGCAGGTACCTTGGTCATTTTTCTTTATTTCAAAAAAGTTTTTTAAATGCATCCAGATTTTTGCTAGTTTTGGAAAAAAATAAATAAATACGTAGCTTATGTCCTGATGAGGCTGACAAGGCACAGATTAAGATGCTAATCCAAATACTACACGAAACTTGCAACCATCCTAAATTCTCAGCTACCCCAACTCATCGTCATACAGAGCATTATTATGTACATTATCAAAGCTGAACGAGGGGCCTGCAACATTACCCACGATGGGAAGTGTGCATTTTTTCCTGATTAATGCACAGTAAGTGACGGCAGTTTTCATACATTGATCATTTAAAATGCACTCGGTATTTTCATTTATTACGGTCTATAATGTATAACCAACTGTTCCATTGCTTATATCGTCTCTTTATACGGAATATGTATTTTCTTTCTCCAGACGAGCTGATAAGTCATGGTTGTGCTGGGTTACGGTCATGTTAGCATGTGGCCTGTCACATTTTCAGGCAGGTCCGCTGGTAACTCTTTCAAAGTCACCAGCAGTTAACGGGTCAAAGGTCAGCAGTTATCTCAAAAGTGAAGGATGGAGTGGGTTAACTGTGAAGCCTGCCAGCTCCAAAACGTGAAGCCATATGAATGAGTTCACCTGAAGAAAAAAATACTTTTATCCAAAAGCTCCCAACAATAATAAATATCTCCTTAGCTTAAGTTTTCAGTGATGTCTGCCAAATTGGGGGTAGCTTTTATTAATGGAGGGATGCATCACACTGAGGGATGCGGAAGTGTGGTTAGGTCCTGTGCCCTGGATTTCTCTACTATGCCCTATGTGTGTTCTTGAGATACATACTTAAAAATGGACAGTAGGGAGAGGGTGCTCTCGGAACTGGGTTTGCCCACCTACTTTTCTAAAATGTCTTTCCCTTTTGTTCTTGAGAATCAGAAGGATATAGCATAGCAGGATTAAGAAGTCAAAAATGGATGAGGCTGGAAACTCTCTCTGTAGTGACTAGTGGTGAGTGATGATGCTGCTTCCCCAAGGCATTCTGTCTGGCAGGTGCTGATGGGACTATTAGTAGTCGCTTTCAGAGCTGTGCATGGAGCAGGGTCCTACCAAGGCAAAGGGACAGACGTACGAGTGTGGGATAGGATGGTGCTGTTGCTCAGCCATAACACTTTACTTCTGGACATCCCTTCAGCCCTGTGACCCAGAGGTGGTAGCAATGAAGGCTGACAAAGGGAAACTGGACATGGCCGTGGGCAAATTGAAATCCTTACAGTATCTGAAGCTTCTTCAGTAGAAATGGGAGAAATCCTGGATTCTTCCTCAAGCTTAAGCCTCCCTTAGCATCAAGCGCTCTGTCCTTTATGTTTATCCATTAATGCTAAAATAGGTCACTAATGAAATAAAGAACCTTGCTCAGCCAGAAAGAGTGAGCAAGCTCTGGGCTCAGACCCATTGATAAATCAGGGAACCCTGCCACTTCCCCAGCCCCAGCTTGCTGGCAGCCAAGCTGGAGCCCTGAGCACCCCAGAAATGCGTGACCTCTCTCTCTTGCCAGGCTGGCAGCGAGTCAACTTGTCAAAGCTCCAGTTTGCAGCATGAACAACACAGGGTCAGCGCCAGCCCTCTGCACCGCCTCCCTTTTCCTCCCAGCTACACTGATTTATTTGGCAATGAGGAACATGAAAAAAATGTTAAATAAAAGCATCAGGCAGGACAAGAGGGAAGCTAGGCATTCAGTTGAGCACAGAAACTAGTTTCAGTCTTTGTCGACTGTAATTCTTACCCATCTTTCCCTCCTCCCAAACAAGGTCTATTTAACACTGAGAATGTTCAAAGCAATTTGAAATCAACTTGGCCTATGTATCATAGTGAAGAAAGGAGAGAATGTATCCCCAGCCCAGAAGATAGTCTGTCTAAGCCAAGATTATTATCCAGCTTCAAAAAATAGAAAAAGTGAAAGATTTGAAAGAGTAGGAAGAATGCCTTTGCCAATACTTGGCGTGGTGTAGTAAAAAAAAAAAAAAAGAAAAGCTGGTTCTTGAGTGTAATTACCAAAGACAGATAACAATTAGCAGGCTCAGGAGATTCTTCGGGGACCCTAAGGTAAGTGAACACCCTCCACTGCCTTCTGTGTCTCCTGAGAAACCCTCATAAAGAAGCGGGCTGACCCGGTCAATTCCCCAGAGGTATAAGTCATTGCTTACTCATCTTCATGTCCTCCCATAGTGCCAAGCTCAACAATTTACTGATAGTGAAGAACTGTGGAAAACGAATGGATGAAGACATGAAAAAATGAAACAACTTGTCAAGCGGCAGAGATTCCACTGGAAATGTCCATGTGGTTTGACAGGACAGCTTGAGTTTGTATCAAGAAAAGACCATCAACATGGATAAAGCTGCGAGTTTATTCCTCTCTTCTTGGGT